AAATATATGAGTTTGTATGTAATGTATGAATATAATATACAAGTTTCACTTTTTAAATGGAATTACTGAAATAAATCTACTTTTTCATGATATTCTAATTTTATGACCAGCACCTGTATTGCTTGGTGCATACAAACCTCTGTGACCAAGGAAAGTCCACACAAGCAGCAGACACAGCAAATAATGTGCAGGAGGATTTCACATCTGTAGCTTTTGTGAAGGTAAGAAAGGAAATGATCCTCCAGCGATGTCATCAAACACTCAATGCCAATGAACTATGAAACAAATGATGAAAGAACAATTAGTGAGTTTTTTTCAGGTTTTAGTTTATTTATTTAAAAAGACTCCGATTGGCACCTGACTATCTAGTCCAAGCAGAATGGTCATGATGAAGAAACACACGGACCACACCTGAGGCACCTGGTGTCATGGCTACAGCACGTGGGTAGACAATAAATGCCAACCTTGGGCCTAAACATGAATGAAAAATTAGTCAAAATATGTAACATGAATTTTATGAACAGGCGTCGAAATAAATACTATAATAAAGTACTTGAAGAAGTAAAGGGAAACTAGTGTTTTGAACTATTATAGGCCTAATTGATTAAAATATCTTGCAGCTCAATTTTGCTGTATGACCTCCTGAAACAAATAGAAAACATTAGGTAAACTTAAAGAAGCCTTATTCTGTACCTGATTCTGCAACTTCAGAAATGCCCACACCCTGTTCATTTTTCATGAAACCCAAAATGGAGAAAATGGCAAAGCCTGCCACAACGCTGGTGGCACTGTTCAGCAAACACAGATAGAAACAGTCTCTGGGAAAAAAAGTAGCTTGTGACATTTGTGTTAACAAAAAATGGCTTAAATAAAAATCCACCCTATTAGTATGGTTAAGATTGTCTATTTTAACTTCATGATTGTGATTATTTTCTTTTTTGTTTGTTTCAGTTAAATTAATTGTAGCTATTTTACAAGCAATTATGTTTTGTTTTGTTTTTACATCAGGATTTTTGTCCTTGTACCATGCAGTCTATTGTCTTAGTAAAAGAAAATGTTTATTTTAATGTTGGAAGATGTTTGCTGAATGGCTAAAAAAGCTGAATCTAGCCGGATAGGTTACAAAAAGTAGCTGAAATAAGCACAAAGAAACAGAACATGCATGTTTGTTGAATTAAGCAGTAAGAAGCTGAAATGATCATTAACAAGTGAAGGAAAGAAATACAGAAGCTTAGAATATTCGATAGAAGTAGAAAGAAGCTGAATGAGCAGAAAAAGACAAAGTCAAATGATAACTAAAAAAACAAGAAAACAAATCAGGAAAATGGAAGCTGAATGAAAATGAAATTAGTACAAAAAGTTAAAAAACAGAATCAAAACAAAAGACAAAAGCAATTTTTTTGTGACCAAACATCAGGTATCAAACTGAATTTGTCATAAAGACATAACACATCACATTTTAAGCAGGTAATAATTGATTGATTCTCAGTTAATTGTTCCATCTCTAACAGACATCATTTACTACAAGTGAAAATTTGCAGTTTTAAAGCTCAGATCCCTGCACTTTCAATTGGACTGAAACTCAAATCAGGTCACTTTTTAAAAATGTAGGATTGCCACATCCTGGATGATGCACCAGCATGTCTTCAACTCCATGTGCCATTATAATAGAATTATTACTAATGCTGTTTTACCATTGTATTGGTCATAATGTTATGGTAGTTCAAAATATCTTATATTTCATTGTTTACATACTTCATTCACTTTACTCACTTGTAGCAGTTGTTGTTGTAAGGGTTGTAACTCCCAAGGGATGTAAGGAAACCAAGGCCCGATGGCGTAAGAGAAGAAGATCTGCGTCCCAGCGACCATCCACACCTGAAACAATGAATTAAAGTCATGTTGGTGTTCATGAGAATGTCTCTGTCATCAACAAGGATTTTTTTTATCTGTGGGTCTGAGAGGTGGGAGATATCTGGGTTGAGGTAGTAAATAATCTCATCCACTGCCCCAGGTAGGGTAACACCTCGTACAAGCAAAACAAACAGCATAAAATAGAGGAAGGTGGCTGTGAAGAAGGCTGCCTGAGAGGAAATAAAAAGAGAAAAAGTTAAATTTATGTTGAATTATTTGACCGTTTAACCAGATAGTACACTTCACCGATTAAAGTTAATATTACAGACACTCAAATTTTCTTTTTTGTGTCTAAAAATCAACAAACACAACAAAAATCTGTATAGAGGAACCACCCGTATACCACCTGTTCAAAACACAAGAATCATTTTTCAGCTAGTTTTCTAACATTCTTCCTTCTTGCTTCTGGTTCTTTTTTGATCCAGTTCAGGGTCACAGGGAACTGGTACCTTTGTTCCCAGAGGTCATTTGGCTTTAAGTGTGTGAATTGTTCAAGAATGCTGAGTTTTCATATTACTGACCTTTCCTGTCGTCTTGATTCCCTTCCAGATGCAAAAATAACAGATGACCCAGCTCAGAATGAGACACAGGACCAGTTCCCACCTCAAGCTGCCTACCTCTTCGATGCCTCCCGAGGTCTTCAAAACTCTTCGTCTGGTCAAAAGAGGAGAGGCGTGGAAACAGTGCAAGGGAGATGAAAGGGTTAATGAATGAATGAGAGACGGAAGGGAAGGGAACAAAGTCGAGCCCAGAGTGAAGCTGAGCCAAACGGGCTGTGAGGAGACGGCTGAGAGGAGAACGAGAAAGGGAGGGGAAGGACACGTGTTGTGAGTTTGTGCTTACTGCCAGAACTCCAGAACTGGAAGAGTTGTGTTCAGTTTGGATTTAATGCTCAAATTCTGAGAGTTGTCAAAACATGAGTCTGAGAAAAACGACACAAAACAAAACAAAAAAAAAGTTAAAAATAATTTATGAATAAAACTTTTTTCTTTGCCAAACATGAAAGTCGTCAATGTAAAATGGTAAAAGAAATAAGAAATGTGTCTAAACTGAAGGTTTAAATAACAGATAGCTGAGATGAAGACTGTTACAACATAAAAACGTATTTTCAGTGAGGAAAAATTTACGAAAAAGTTACCTTGAGAGAGAAATGAATGTGGCCATGTAATATCAAAAGCCACCCAACCCCTAGGCAGTCTTACCATTTTTCACACCAAGAGTTATGATTTTTAGAATACTAACAATAAATTCCTTCTGAGTGTTAAGTTTACTTGAAACGTGAGTGCTGTAAATCATTAAAAAGTCCATAAAAAGGTGTAAAAAGAAAATAATCTAAAGTAGAGACATTGCATTCCCTACAAAAATGCAGCGTGAACACTTAAAAAATATTTCAGCTGAACAGCTAATAAAAGTTGAAACTAGATTGAAAAATTGCTTTTTAAAAAAATAGCTGAAATAAGCAAAAATAAACATAACAGTAATATGTTTGTTGCAGTATAAAATAAAGTATGTAAAATATGTGATATAAAATACCACAAAAAGGTTAAATTAGCTAAAATAAGTCAAATTAGCTAAAAAGTAGGTACAAACACACAAAACAATTGAAATTAGCAGAAAACAGCTAAAAAAAAGCACAAAAAGCTTAAAATGGCAGAAAGAAGCTGAATGTACAAAAAAGTTTAAGTGAGTAGAAAAATAGAAATACCGGTAGCTAAAAACAGAAAAAAAATATTCTAATTGGCAATACAGAAGCTGAAGGAAACTGAGATATAGTACACAAGAGTTACAAAACAAAATCAGAAGAAAAGGTAAAAATTAAATTAAAGAATTAAGAACATATTCAAGAATTTTAAGGATATTGAAGGCAGCTCCATTCATTTTCAATGAGAAAAAATGACAGAAAAGGCTAAATATCTCAAAAAGTAGCAGAACATTTGGATATTTAAATATTTGAAACAACACAAAAATTGTAGAACAAAAATGAAAAAAAACAAAAAAACAATCTCAGTAGTGCATGCTTGATAACCCACAGTGTGGAAATTTCCACATGATTCACAATGCTGCAACATGGGAAAATAACATTGTAGATGAATCTGTGGATTGAACAGTGAGAGCAGCTCACAAGGTTCCTCTGGCAGAGGTGAGCAGACAGGCGGTCTGAGAAAACATGACGACACTGTCAGGGACCACAGGGACCTCAACACAAGACCAGAACATTCAGAAATCTGGGCCCCGACTGATCCATCACTAACAAAACAAATGCTGACTCTCTAACATTTAGAGTTTTTGAATTTACTGCACATTTGGTGCATCATGTTTGGGTTCGGGTGATGGCCACAGTGGAGAAGGATTACTGTGACCTCTGGACACCCTGCTCTAATCCTGGGAACTACTGTCATATGTTTAGTTGCAGTCAACAGGAAGCCTCTAGGCAAACATCTCCCTTCTCACAGGATTCAACTACCAACATGTTTGAGGTGTTAGAGTGTGTTCCTGTCTTGTCTCATCTTTCTCAGTGCCTGTGCTTTTAGACGGTCTGGGTTTCTCAAACAGCGTGAACACACTTCCCAGCCAATAAATGGCATCTAAAAGCTGTAATTCTTCATAGCTGTCTCTCCTGATCCTGATCTTACTGCAGTTGATCTACAAATTGATCCCTAACAATGCTTGCATATTGCTGAAATGCCCTGCTTTTAGAAGTTAGCAGGGCTAAGTAGATACCTAGGTAAGTTAAAATATACTTGTCAAAAACCTCTTGGTGCAAATGAGCAGGATTCTCTAAAATCAGACCTATAAAAACGGGTGAACATGTCAACATAACTATTTTCTTTACTGCAATCTTGTTGCGGTTTAGGCACAGCAGTACTCCCTGTTAGGAGCTGAACATTATTGAAATCCAGCTCAAAAAATGAGGAAAACTAATTGCCCAGGTGATATTAATGTATTTTGGCCCAATAAATTCTGGTATTTTTCATATCAAAACCCACAAAATACATTTTAATAAATAATATTACCCATAAAGGAGAAGTTATA